TTTTTTTTTTCCTGTCCTGTAGCATGGGTAATGTTTTCTTGGATAGAAGATCTTCTCAGCTAGCAGGGTCCAACATCCAACTGTGACACCATGGTGGAAACTACAGAAGGATCCTGTCTCCCTGAAAGAACTAAGAAGTAAAAAAAGTATCTTCATGGAGCAAAGAGGCAGGTTTTGGCATCCAGGCCAGACAGGAAGATGGGGAGCAGGCTGGGGCTGAGGGGAGTTGCTGGGGTGATGTGGGCACATACTCAAAGAAATGGAGCAGGGCTCGTCCTTTCCACCAGTCAGCTGAGGGGCTCTGCAGATGGACAGGAAAAGGGCAGGCCAATATTTCTGAAAAGGCTGCAGTGGTGTATTAATGCAGAGAGTGTTCTTCTGCTTGAGGAGGCAAACATAAAAGACAGACAAGCACTTTGGGAAAAAACCCATAATTTCAGAGTACGCCTGCTCTCTGGAAGCGTGAGGACCAGCACACTTGACAGCAGCCACCAGGAACTCTTCCCCAAGCCTGTCCAAGGCTTTTCAAGAGCAGAGTCAGCTCAGGCCAGGCTCACAGTGGTGGGGCAGGTGGGCTGCCATGCCATGCTGTGCCATCCCATCCATGGGGCAGCTGGGAGAGGCTCCCCAGGGAGCAGCTCCACAGCCTGCACCACCTCTGATGGACATACAGTGCTGCTCTCGCCTGCCATTAGCACATTTTAACATCATTAATCTTTCAGGAAAATTCTGCAGTATTCTAAAGCACACCCTAGGTAGCAAGTTAAATTTGTATGTTTAAACAGAGTCTTTTCACCTTTTCACTGTGAAGATGCAGCAACAGTACTGCTTGCTAGGGATTTGATGATGTCAGCGTTGGGGATAAGATGAGGCAAATGGAAAATCTTCACCAGAGCTCACCTCCTCTGCAAAACAAAGCTGAAATTTTCAAGCATACACCACAAGGGTTTAAGCATGCAACTCTTGTGCCCCTCAGAGTAGCCAATGTGAGTCCATGGACATGCTACACTGCTGGTGTTCTCTCATAGGCACTGAGGGAGGAGAAGGATTTAGAAATAAGGGGCTGGAGTTGAGTGGGAGGAAAAGGGAGGGAAGGAAGGTAGATATAGAGGTTATAATTACATGAAAACCTGCTGTTGAGGTATTTTTTTTTTTTCTGGAGAATACCACAGAACTCAACAGGGAAAAAGCAACAACATGCTGTGAGCACTGCAGAGAATTAAGAGAAAATTGCATCCTTACTGTACAATGCTATAATTACCCTGAGATCAGAGCAAGGAAGACTTAATTTCAGTGATCTTGTTAGGAACATTTAAACAAACTGGATATATGCAGGCCCATGAGACTTCATGGGATGTACCCATGAGTGCTGAGGTCTAGCCAATGTCATTGCAAGGTCACTCTGTAACCTTGGCAATCAGGAGAGATACCTGAAGACTGGAAGAAAGAAAATAGTCATCCTCTTTCAGGAGAGCTGAAAATAAGATCTGGGAAACTTTGGCAAAGAAGACCAATGGTGTCATGGGCTACATGAGATAAAGCTTTGCCAGCAGGTCCCCTCTCATGCCTGGAGTGATTTGTCCAGTTCAGGGTTCACATGGACACACTGGAGAGAGAACAATGAAGGATCATGAAGCTGATTACAGGACTGGAGCCATCTCTTATAGAGGGGGAAGTTGAGAAAGCTGGGACCAGTCAGCCTGAGAAGGCTCAGGGAGGATCACACCCCTATGTATATAAATACCCAAAGAAAGGGTTTACAGGAGATGGGGTCAAGTTCTTTTCAGTGATGCTCAGTGATAGTACAAGAGGCAATGAGCAGAAGCTGAAATGCAAGAAATTCTATTTAAACACAAGAAAAACATGTTCTGCTGTGAGTGTGGTCAAGCACTGCAGCAGGCTGCCCAGAGAGGTAAATGGAAGAAACTCCCTCCATCCTTGGAGACATTCAGCATCAACTGGACATGACCCTGAGCAATCTGTTCTAGCAGACCTGCTTTGAGCTGGAGTTGGACAAGATGATCTCCAGAGGTCCCCACCAGTCTTATCCAGCCTTTTCAGACTGTGATTCCAATGTTACCTGGCTTCAATTTGTCATGATTTTTATCTCTTCATTCAGAGATTGATAGAATTACTTTTTTAGTGAATGACAGTTTTTTGTTGATAAGAAGCATGTGATAAACCAGACTTTGTCAGCTCTCAGCACAAACAGAAAAGTCTACAGCTCTTCACAGGGATTAAACACTGCAGCTACTACATGTATACACCAGGTCTTGAAAGAATTCCCCTGGAATAATGAGAAATTTGTAGGAAAATGTCACAGCACAAGTAGTAACATTATTCTTACATGTTCATTCTGACAGGTTCATGCTTACAGGACCATGAACAAACCTTCTGGGAAGACTCTCTTTCAAATTCGGTTTCCTTACCAAAAAGATTCAATTAAGGCAAACCCAGGACATGGAGAAATCCATGGAGGGATGGGAAAGATTTCCTAGTTCACCTGGAATGTCAGCAAAGCCCTTTCTAGTCAATGACCTCATGCTCCACCCTCAGGAGAGAAGTCCAAGCAGGTTGGTTCAGAGCTTGCAAGGAGGGCTTTGGTGTGTCTGACGTGTGCTCCTGCAGAAGCAGCTATTTCACGCTAAAAATATGTATTTTTAGCACAGCAGCTTGCAGCCTTATGCTGAGAGAAAGAAGCTGAGCCAAGGGAGGGAGGGCTGATGCCACAAGGTCTGTGGCAGGCAGATGCATAATTTCATGCTGAAAGAAATCACCTCCTTATACAAGCTGCCTCCTTTATCCCTCCCACCACTATTGGTGGCATTTTTCTTTCTAGAAAGTGAGCCTACCACATAGAAAGAGTAGTTTATCTTCTCCTTTTAGGAGATGTTTTTTGCTGGCAGAGATTTTCTTTGCTTTTCATAGTTTCCCAAGCACTTGTGGTGGAACGTTTCTAAACACCCTTGAGTGGAGCCCATCAGCTCAGTCATTACGTGGCTGGGAGCAGATGCCTGGTGAGGAGAAGTGCTCAGTTTTGTCAGCCCCTTGCACCTCTGCTGGTGCAGGGCCATGTGCCCCGAGAGCAGGACAGCCTGCACCCTGTGGTGCCACATGGAGCTCCACAGAGCAGCAACGAGGAGGCTTGGCTGTGGTTCAGCTGAGCAGTAAATGTTTTTTGACAAGGAACAGCAGTGTGAAGTTTAGTCTTCTGTGCTGCACTGAAGTAATCCAAAATTATTATCTACAGCACCACCCCACCCACTGGGTTGCTACTCCTGGGAGCAGACCACCCAAACTCTCTCTCTCAGTGCATTACAGGCTACTGCAAGGCCATGTCCATGTTATCCTGACACACTATGGGATGGAGAGCTTTCTACAGACCATTTGCCATCATCCAGGACTGGTTATGTTTAAACTCCACTCAGATAAAAGTTTTTTATATTAATGCTGGGGATAAACTCAAAATCTAAACAGGAGAGGGTGTTTTGCTGCCTGCTGACTGCCCTTTTTCCAACATTCATCCAGAATGTGGACTTAGAACCAGAAAGGTATAAATGGTGCAGCTGTCCAGCACTGACTAAGCTGGCAGGTGAGAAAGAATACAGAGAGCAGGAATTATTGATCTCAATAAAGAGCCTGCCTGGGGCTTTTCCCAGCACAAGGGAGAGAGGAAAGTAAATTTCAGAGATAGGTGTGAACAGGCCAGAAGATGGGGGACAGCACACGGCCCAGGCCCTGACGTGCATGGTTTTAACAAGATGAAAAGTGTGAATCAAAAGGCAGAGAAGCACAAGAAGTCACAAGGCAGTACCTGCCCTGGGCTACAGCTGGGCACCTGAGTTGCAGAGGGCTCCCAGTGGGATGCTCTGTCCCCAGCTGCAGAGGAAGCCATGGATGCACCTCACCCTTTGGTGTACCCCTACCTCCCTGCTGGGCTCCCAGAAAACGGCTGGTGAGTCTGCAGGGGTGCTGGGGGCACTGCCAGCTGGGGCTGGGTGACAGAGGGTGATGGGGGAGCTGACTTGCTGCCGTGGGCACTCATCAGGCACACGTCACACAGGATACACGTGCAGCAGCTGCTTGCAAGGGCACAGCACCTCTACATGCACATGGGGCAGAGCAACTACAGCACAGGGAGAGAGCAAACCCCTGAGGATCCCAGAGATCTCCACCCAGGGGAAAATGGGGCTCCAGCTTGTGATGCACTGGTGTTTCAGATGGATGATGGGCAAAAGGCCTGTGTTTATCCAGCATGAGCCTAATTGCCTACAAATGTTAAGCTTCATATTTACTCATGACAGTCTCACAAACTGTTCCAAGAATCACATATCAAAAGCATCTCTCTGAAAGGTAGAGGGGGTTTCTATACCATTCAAGAAGCAAGCATTTTCCATGACAGAGAAAATTTCCAGGTTTGAGTTGTACTGGATGGTGATAAAGCTACTTCACTGGCACCTGTTTTGTAATGCAGGTGCTTGTAGCAAGCTGGTTCTCACCCACAGTCCATCAGTGCCTGCTCTCAGGCCTGGTGCAGTACAGAGCCACTCACGTGCTGATAGCAGCCATCTGCCTGCCTTTGCTGTCTGGTTATAAAATACAAGTGAAAGCTCTTCAAGCTGTGTAAATGCCTTAAAAGGGAGAAAACAGAATTAACACAGTTTTCATGCTATGTAGAAAACATCTTCTCCCTCCAGTGTTATATCAAGAGAAAACATGCTGTGCGTTGTATCTCTGACAGGGATGAACAGCATGCAAACACACCCATGGACTTTGCAGGCAAAGGAGGGAATTGTGCCCTTTCCATGTTAACATTTATTAACTTCCCTCAGCTGGAATTTCCATTTCCAGGAAGAAATAGAGCACTTTTTCAAGGTTTCAGAATTGGAACAAAACCCAGGAGCATCACAGCAATCAAGGTTTCCTCTCTCCCTTTTTGGGAGTTGGAGGTGATTTTCACTGCCAACAGAAAGCAGAGGAATCATCACTCCCATCCTTAGGGACTTCAGATGTTCTGGGGAATGCAACTTTCCAGGGAATCCCCGAGAACGGGCAGTCAGGGGGAGGATGCTGAGAAGGTCTCTGTGAGCCACACATGTACCCTAGAACTTCCCTGATTAGAGCTGCAGCTTGTTCAAGCATCGAAGCATAATTATTCCCAGCTCCAAAATCCTGTTGGATGAGGATAGAACTTTTAGTCTTACCTCTTCTACACCTCGAGAAGTGAAAGCTGCAGGCTCCGTGCTATTGCCCAAGGACTGTCACAGGGGGATTTCCCAAGGAGCAGCTCCTGAGCCCAGCGCTGCGAGCGGTTCCTGCGTCACGGAGGCTGTGTGGGCATGGGCACGATACAGCCGAGCTGGGGGCGGTTGCCTTAGGAATACAGCCCACATCAGCCTTTTTCTGATTAAACACAGAGAACATGAGTTATTAGAAACCGGCCTGATACTTACGGCCGGCAGGCTGCAGGAGCTCAAAAACGCAGAAGCAAACCGTGCTGAGGAGGCAGGCGGAGGGCAGGGGCTGTGGGCTGTGGGCTGTGGGCTGTGTCCGGGCGCTTTAGGGCCGCTCCCGCAGGGCCGGCGCTGCGCGGCCGTGCGGGCGCGCCCGCGGAGCGGGACAGCGGCGGGGCCGGCCCGGGGCAGCCGCGCTGGACGTGCCGGGCTCGGCTGAAAGGG